AAAAACTTCATGTGACACGAATTTCGAATTTATTTTCACATATAGAAAAGCAGCCTCAGGGAAATGTCACACGACTACTATTACTATTCACTGAATAATTAATTTAAATATTAATGATTGAATGAATATCCAAATATTTAAATTTAATTAATATAAAATGAATGAATATTCAGTAGGTACGACCTTTGCTGTCTATTGTAACCCTCTAAACTCAGCCCTTTCTTTGAAAAAGGTTGCAATGATCATTTTTTATTAAAATAATTTTTGAAGAAAATGTCATTTTGAAATACATTAGTAACCTTGATGAGTTGGTCTCTTGATAAGTCAGTTTTGGCCTAACTTGGCCAAAATTCTTTTAATTTTTGTTCATGAAGTTTCCAAATATATCAAAGAAAGTTTAGATCATTTATCACTTTTATATTTTATTATTAAAGTAATTTGTAGGAATTGTATCACCTTTTATTTGTGATCAATGATCTACAAATACCATTCAAATTCTTAATCAATCAAGTATTTTCATCTTCATCTTCTCATCATTTGCAAAGAAACAATTTAGCTAAAGAATTTTTCAATCAACAACAGAAGAAAGTCAACAATAAATACAAACATTCAACTAAAAATGGCTTTTGCATCAGATGGTGGGTAAAAGAGAAGGTGTTGCTGTAAAATTATCAAAAGTTGTTATTTAATGATTGATCAATCACTGTGTTGAGCACTAATAGAGCATATACTATCTGGAATTTGTTGAGAAAAGATATAAAATATATGAGTAAATCTAGAAATAGAAACTTGAAAATTTTTCCTACACTTTATTTTTATTAAAGCACACGATAAATAAAACAGCAAAATGGGGACACAATATCCTCTCCATCTATCCTTCACCCTCAAAAACATTGGCATATTATAATTAATTTATTGTTTTGCATTTACTATATTTATTGACCACCTATAATTTTCTATGAACAGTAGTGACAGCAGCCTATATATAGAAAGATAATAGCTAAATAAAAACTTAAACAAAACATTTGATTGATTGATAATCTTCTTACTTGGTTAACAGGATACACCAATACATCAGCAATATTTACATGATCAGGTCGAGATGCAGCAAAAACAATTATTTCGGCTAAAAATTATAAAGATTTCAATAATAACAATAACAAAAACAACAATGATTGACCAACTTGTTGATTAATATTTTAATTACCAACATCAGTTCCATTTAAAGGTGTCTATTGATTAATATATAAATATATTAGTAACAATTTTAAGATGTCAAGTAGTAATTTAATGATTATATTGATAAAATATTCTCACCAATCCTTCATACACTTTATTAGCCTTCTCTTTATCTCCATAGAATCTAACAATAGAGAACTCAGTTTCTACCATCCCTTAACAACAATAATAGTAAATATTGATTTTATTATTAGAAAAATATTTAATTATTTTTGGCCATTCAAACAAAATCAATCAGTCAGTCAAATGTATTATATATTACCAGGATTTATTTCAGTGACCCTGATTGGTGTATCAACCTTTAAAGAAATAAATTAGTCATTAATTTGTAATATTATCATTTGTGGAAAAATAATTACTAGAAAACTTACTAATTCGAGAAGCAAAGTTTTTGAAATTGCATTAACAGCATGTTTCGTAGCACAATAAACAGAACCTTTATCATAAACTTGTTTTCCTAAATTATAAAACAGATATTATATGGTAGTTGTCTCATTAGAAGAAAAATTATTAGTTTAAAATAAACCTGAAATTGATCCAACATTGATGATGTGTCCTTTTTGACGTTCTTTCATTCTTGGAAGAATGGCTTGAATAACATATAATAAACCTTTGATATTTGTGTTGATCATTGTGTCCATAGCATCAACTGATATGTCTTCAACTTTATCTAATCCAATAACCAAACCTTAATTTAAAATAGACAATTGGTTGGTGGTATTTAGAAATAAAAATTTATTTAGGACTTAGAATTAACAAATTATTTTATATAAGAAACCTGCATTATTAATCAACACATCAATATCTTTAAAATCTGTTGGTAATGAATTAACTAATCGATCTACATTAGATTTCTCACAAACATTTAAATTATGTGTATAGATTTTTATTGTAGGGTGTTTTTTCAAAAGTTCATCTTTAAGTTGATCAAGCCGTTCAACTCTTCTTGCAGTCAGTATCTATAAAATAAACTTTGATTATGAAAACAACAAATCATAGCAACAATTATCATGGTTTTTTAGAATGAATAGATAGTTAAATAGATAAATAATGATATCAAACCAAATTCGATCCTGCTTTAGCAAATTCTTTAGCACATGCTTCGCCAATGCCTGCAGAAGCTCCAGTACTAAAAAAAATCATTGTATTTATAAATGATTGAATAATTGATTCATTGATTCATGATTCATTGAATGACTGATTTATTAAAGGATTGATCTATTAAATGATTAATGATATATTACATGAATATATTTTTGCCTTCAAGTCTACTATTACTCGTTATATAATTTCTAGAAATTTGAAAATGAAAATATAACGAATTTATAATGTTTTGTTTAAATAATGCTTTAATCATAATAATTTTATTGCAGGATTTATATTATAATGATCGACATCTCTCCAATTAACAGTGTTTTTTGTTTCATTTCAAAAAAGGATGTTAACGGTCCGGCCCAGATTGAATTGACTGTGGACCGAGCCGGTCTGGTTTTAGGTATCAAAGACCATTGGATTGTTGAATTTTTTATCACAAAAGCATTTATTTCAATTTTATTTGTTAAAAAAATTATTTTATTATAACTCAATTCCAAAAAAAAAAAGAAATATATACAATTTTATATAAATCAAAATTCACTCATTGTTTCTATGAATGCCAATTCCTTCCGATACAAATTCTTCGAAATATTCGAAATATTCGAAATTATCATTTATTTTATCTGTTCTATTCGAATAATTTGTTTTATTCGAATTACTTGATTTATTCGTTTTATTTTTTTTTTCGTTTTATCTGTTTTATTCGAATTATTTAATTCATTTATTCATTTATTCGCTTTATCCGTTTATTTGTTTTATTCGTTTTATTCGTTTATTCGTTTTATTCGAATCATTTGTTTTTACTCGAGTCATTCGAGTCATTTGTTTCATTTGTTCCATTCGTTTTGTTTGTTTTATTCGGATAGAAACCCTAAGTCTGGACCAGACCTAATACTAAAGAGCAAGATCAACAGACTGTGAAAGTCCTGCATGAGAAAAAGGAATTGTTGTCGATTCCAAAAAATCACGTGCTCATTCGTGCTTTTTTGTTGGTTACGCTGTTCTGAAGCATTTTGATGATCATAAATTTTTTACCAATAAAAAAAAATCATTCAAGTTCTAATAATTGTACAAAGTAATAACGAATGTCTGAGCCAGATTGTACAAATATGTTAAAACAATCAGAAGAACAACTAAACCATCATGTAGTTGTCGAGTCTCATTTGTATAATAATAACACTGGGCAATCATCTCATTCACAGCATGACGAGGATTCATTCCAACCTCAAACTCCAATAACTCCGCACTCGCCTTTTACTCCCTCATTACACTCGCCCTCAGATTTGGACCAGCTAATAACAAGTAAATTACCACAAAAAGAAGAAACAGAACAAAATGTTGTTTCTAAAGGTAACGATACTAATACTGCAATAGTACTAAGAGTGTGAACTTATTAAGCTTAATGCTATTTTTAATAATCGTTCGCGTCATCTCATTTTGAAGTACTATTAAGTTAACAACGACTATCTTATTTAAACAATAGATGCACCAGATTTTCACACAAGCTCAAAAATTACCAATGAAAAGTCAAATAACAACAACTGTAATAATAACAACAACTGTAACAATAATATTAATAATAACAACAATAATAATCATTCAAATAACAATAAAACAAACTTGTCTCATCAATTTTCATCTAAGAAATCTTCTTTACCAAAAAAACCCACGTCCTCCTCCTATTCTTTTCAACCACTTCAATTATTATTACAAGAATGCAGTAAAGAGGTATTCATTTATATTTACTTTTTTTTGTTAACATCGTTATAATAATAATAATAATAATAATAATAACAACAACGTTATTAATGTAAATGGTAGTATATCATTCTACACCTGGCAACAAAATCCGAGGAAGAAATGAAAGATTTATTTGGTGATCGAAAGAAATTATTTAATGATATACAACATTATTGTACAGAAAATGTCTTGTCATCAGCAAGAAACAAAATTTTTGACCAATTAGATGAAGTAAGAGTGGTTATTCAATTATGTATATCATTTAGCTGATTAGATTTTTCAAAAAAAAATATTTTCTGAAAGTTATCTTATTTAATCCAGAGAGGAAAAGAATTATTGAAAACAATTAATTCAGATTCGGATGTGAGTAATAAATACATATATTATTTTAATTATTTGTTTCTTGGAGTGAATTTTATAAAGCAGCAATATATTTATTTATAAATTAATTATATAAATAACCAATAGGCTATTAAAGAAAAGTTTCAAGAAACAGTTATATTAGATAAATGTTTTTGTGATGCTATGGATAGAATCAGAACAGAAAATCATTGTGTCAATAGTAGCAGCAATAGTGGTGGTACTAGTAGCGGTAATAATAATAAAACTGAATCTTCTGTTGGAGAAAATGGTAATTATTATTATTAAACTCATTGTTATTTTCTTTTGACTCTTTAAAAGAAAAACTGTTAATAAAATATAAAACTATATATTTACTTAGTTTTAAATCAAATTTGTAAGTTGTGGGGCCAATATAATAAATCTTATAATAGTAATCTGAATCTGGATCATTATCGCAACAAGGGTAGAAATAATAATAGTATTAATCATCATCATCATCAACACCGCTATTATCGTGGTGCTGGTGGTGGCTGGTCACAACGCGGTGGTGGTAATATTCGTCATGCACCTTATGGAAATCCTGGACAAAAATCTCGTGGTGGTGGTGATTGGAATTTCCAAAACGATGACCGAAATTTTAAAGTTAGACGTTTGACGGTGGATAATTACCCTTTTAATAATAATAATAACAATCACCACAATCATAATAATAATAAGATTAATAATAACAACGATGTCATTGTTGGAAATAACATGATTGGCAATGGCAGTAGTGGTAATAATAATAATATTATTAATAGAGATCGAAGAGATGATTTTGTTGGTAACGTCGGCGTTGGTATTGGTATTGGCAGTATTTTGCGTAATAATAATATTAATAACAACAACAACAATAATAATAATAGAGACTATGATCGTAGGCCGCCTTCGCAAACTGATTTTAGACCTCCTCCACCACTTCCACCTCCTCCACCCATCAATACAAATTTTCCGCGTGATAAACTACATCTACCACTGTCACATCCGCCACTACTAATCAATCGACGTGAAAATACTTTTCATCATCATCGTAATCATAATGACAATCGTAGAAAAAGTTCATACGATAGAAGACCTGATAACATTAGATTTCCTAGAGAGCATTGTGGACTACATCCACCTCCTCCTCCCCCACCGCCTCCTATTACACAACCACCACACCCTTTAATTGGAGGCCCGTCTAAACTTTCACCAATTATTTATGAAGCACCTCCAATGCCTCCAATGCCTCCAAACGGACCAAATCCTCCACCCCAATCAGTGTATGATTATTCACAATATCCTCCTGACCAACAATACTATCATGGTATATATCTATTTTTTTTTTTTAAATTCGCTTAGGATTTTTAATTCAAACTTTAAATATTACTTGATTTTTTATTCATTTAGGATATTATAGTTCCTATCCTCCAGAACTATCAAATTCCAATTCAAATATTCCATATGCTGATTGGCAATCACAGAACAGTCCCGTTCAATCTATGCCCATACATTTGGCCTCATTTCAATGGAATCATCCAGGCAGACACACAGCAATTCCTTTACCTACGTAGGCTCGCACATTTATAATTAACTTAACTAAATAAATAAATGTTTATAATGTATTATTTAATTTGTTTTATAGAGATTTCATGTCAGGCCCTAGTAGTGCTCCGCGTTTATCAATGCCAGAACCACACGAAACATTAGGATATATTAAAGGTGTGATTATTAGAGATGCACAAGGAAATATCGGCTTGAGTCAATACACCTTTAACACATTGTAAAAAAAATAAATAAATGTAAGTTATCAAAGATTTTATCGAAAAAATTTTAAAATAATATTATATTTATTTGAAGATGCATTTTTTAAAGAAAAAATTGATGTTAAAGATCTTTTTCTTGCATTAAAGTAATTGAGGTAATGATAATGTTTTATTTACTTTATGGAAATATATTTAAAGAAATTTTTATATAGTATCATCATACAACAGCAAAAATATCTCGACGATATCAAATTTCAATTGAAACAATTATAATATTATAAATAGGAAAAAATTTTGATTTTAGAAATATCTTTAGTTTTAAAATTGATTAATTAAAGAAAGAAGATATATTTAGTTTTTTTTAGTAATGAACTTTTGAAGTAATTAGTTAATAAATTGGTCATTATTAAGCAATATGAAGCAAAGATTTATTAATTTAGTTATGCATTTGGTATTATATTAATCTGCTAAATAATTGATTAATTAATTAGAGTCGATTTATTCATCATTTAATGTATATATTCTCTTATTATTATATTATTATTCCGTATTATTAACAATTTATAAAGGATATTTTATTGGGAAGTATGATTAAAAAAGATTGTTTACTATCGATGATGGTAATGAATAGAATCAAAAGAAAATTTTATAGAATTTATTTATTTTTGTAAATATAAATTAGCATAAACATATTTGATTACAATATTAATGGTGAAACTTCTTTGTTAATGTTGTTATTACGATTATCTATATTATAATGATGACGGAATAAGAAATGATTTGCAGAATATAAATCAATCAATCAAATCTTTTCTTAGCGAGTATTTTCAACTGATAACATAATTTCCTTTAATAGATATACTTTATAAGGAATTCTAAAAAGGGGAAAAATTGAAGAAAACTAGAATGTAAATGAAAAGGATGATTGATTAGATTATTTCGAGATAATTATATTTTATTCAATTATTTTATTTCTGAACTAATTAACTGATCAAATAACTAAATTTCAATTTCTTTATTAGTCAAAATAAGTATCGTAACAGGTCAGGGATAACCAATAATAAAAGAAATAAAGGCAAGCAATATATTATAAAGAAGATTAATTATTATTTTTAAGATAACCTGACAATAATCATTGATATATAAAATTTTGATAAGGCAATTAGCTTATCTGTCAAAGGTTTAATAACAGAAAGAATAATTAATTTTAGCTGTGTATGCCAATCAACAAACACTTATTAAATATTTATTTTAAACAAAAAATATTCAAAATTTATCTTTTGAGATAGATATATGTGTATATATATGTATGTATGTAAATGTATAAATGTATTGTATATAAAAATAAACTTCATTTTTCATATAAATAGTAATTGGTAAGAAAAAAATTTTTATAATATAACATTTAAATAATAAACTTGAACAATATGAATACAATTCAAAAAAGAAATAAAGAAATAGATCATAAAGGGAATAGTAGTAGTAGTAAATAATAACAACAACAATAATTATAAACTAATAAAGATACACACTATTACTACTACACCACACAATAATAAATGTTTAATTATTATTATTATGATAGGAAAAAAAATAAATTAGCAATGTTCAAAACTCGTACGCATTCTCCTCTTTTATTTTTGATTCCACAATTTTTCATTATTTTCCAAATCTCGCCAAAACATCTATGATTCTTTGTATGCCTAATTTTAAAGCATCCCATTCAACAGCAAATGCCAAACTAAACCAGCCAGGCTCTTCAGCATGAAATGCATCGCCTAGTGAAACATAAACACCGTTCTTCAAAAATTCTTTATATAATTCATGTTCTTTTGATCTATTTCCTTGTACATACTCTCTAAAATCAATCCAGATATAATGACCAGCTTGTGCTGGAAGAAATGAGATTTTATTTTCATTTAAAAGATTAGTTGCACGAGTATAGCTTTCACCAAGACGTCGTTGATTAGTTGTCAAAAACCAATCAATGTAATTTTCATCTGCAAGTAAATTGGTAGCAATATTTTCTGCTGGAGTTCCAACCCATGAAAGTTCTCTATTAAATAAATTTATTTAAATTATAAAAATATTTTTTTAAAAAACAAAAACAAATAAATAATATCAAACATACGCAATATTTTTTAAAGCTTCTCTCAATGCTTGATTATAAGGACTAATTGAAAACCCTACACGAAAACCTATTTAATATAGCGAACAATATATTAATAGTTTTAATTATGTATATATATATACATAAAATTTAATAAAAACAAAATTTACCTTTTAGACAAAAATCTTTTGATAGTCCATAAATAACATGTGCAAATGCAGGATCGATTAATTCATCAAGGTTATCCAATGATAAAACTGATACAAATGGTTGTTTTGTTCTTGGTAAAGGAGTTCTTGATGAAGCGCTTACAGGTGGACGGCTTTCCAACACATGATCGAATACTGATAGAGCAAAGATTTCATCAAAAATGACATGCAGTTTATGGCTACTTGCAAATTTTAATAAAGCCTCAATCACTGAACGAGGATAACATTGACCAAGTGGATTGTGTGGATTTGTGACAAGTAAAGCACGGACATTAATGGAATCATCATTTGTAGATTTTTGGTATGCATGTTCAAGCCGTTCAACATGAATCTGTTCATCAAATATATCAGCATCAGTGCCAATATGTACAGGAATAGCTCTTGCATGAACTTTGAGATAAAGATCATCATCAATAGCACCTATAAAACATTAATATTTATATTATTTAATTACATTATATTTTTTTCAATAAAGTAATTAATTAAAAAATATCAAAACTATATATACCATAGTAAGGAGTTGGTATTAAAATTCCATCGCCTTCATCACACAACACATATGCTAAATCATTAATAGCACTAGTTACCCCAGTATGAACGGTTACATGTTGAGGTAATATTTCAGTTTGTACATTGAAATATCTATTTATAAGTTTAGCAACATGGGCTCTAAGCTCTTGTGAACCAGTATTATGACAATTTTGTAGATGTCTAGTTTCTAAATCGAATAAACCAGGTAGCTAAACAGATCAGGAATATATATAATTATACATATATATAACCCGCAAAAAAGATAAATAGATTCAAAGCAGTAACAGAAGTAAAGTTATTAATTTCATTTTTCCAAATCAACCAATGTAAATTTATCCAAAGAATTTTTTTAATTTTTTTAAAAAAATTAAATATAATAATTTTGGGTGATATAAACAACTAACCTTTTGTAATAATTCCTCTACCATTAATTGGTTTTCAGCAAGTCCCAAATTGATTATACCATTACTATTTTCAGTTTTGTGATGAGGCTTTGATTGAGCCTGTAAAAAACCTTCTTTTAACAATTGCACCTTATCAGTGCGAGCCTGTGCGCGTTTAGAGAGATAAGCCCAGCTCATGACTACCCCGCGGTTTTCGCGTTTAGGTTTGATTATTTAACAAGTATAGTTAATCTATAAAGTTACTAACACCACTCTCCGAAAAACTTGTTTTTGAGTTGGGTTTATTTCAAAAACAAAAAAAATTTTTTAATCAAATTTTAGCCCTAATACATTTGTGAGACTGGGGTGTTCAGTCAAATATGAAGATCAAAACTATGTATAGTAATAGTAACAAACCCCATTTCCAAAAATTAAATATCATGTGACATAATCAACATCAAAAACGTGATTATTATAAATCACATGACAAAATAAATTTTGAGTAGAGATGTTAATCAGTCCTGAACAGTCCGGTTTGGTTCTGAGACTTAAAGTCCCAAACTTTTTTCAAACAATTAATAAAATATTTATTATATACTTTTATTATATATATATCTTTATTCCTATTTACATGGTATGGCTGAAAAGTAATGAGAATCATTGTATTACTCAATAATATGTGGGTATACCTAAACAAAGTTATGA